CCTTAATATAAAAAAAATATATTTTGTCATATGAAAACATTGTTATGTTTACTGATAATGTGCCAAATTTCATTAACATTCGCTTACTGATTTAAAAGTTATAGCATGAAAACTATAACAAGCACAAAATGGTTATGAGGTTGGTTTCAGGGACTGGGCCCATGCTGAGAGAGATAATGAATATGTTTTCTAAGTCGAGATTATTACAATGAATTTTGTTTGTGTTTCTTCAAGTAGTGCTAATGATGGGAACAAGAATTATGAATTAGAAAAAAAAGAATGAAATAATGTAATTTAAAGTAATTTTAGCTTGTAGCATATTGTTTACTCATAATTTCAAACAAGATTTAGAAAAATTCAGAGTGATAATTTTACAGTTATTTCTAAAGAAGTGAAATACACTGAATATGATTTGCATTGTTGGTAACCAGACAACAGCTTTTAAATATCTGTTGTTATGAACTTCAGTTTTCATTTCATTATTTTTTTGTTTCAGTAATAATTAACAAAAATCAGTAAGTGACACATGAGATAGTAAAGCTAATTGGTAAAGATTTATGGGCCATTACATTTTCCATTTTGACTTGCATAGTTAACACAAATATCATATACAAAACTTATAAAAAGAGAAAAGGAATATTGAAATCATTAACACTCAAATAAAGTGCGGTTACGATAGACTGTGATAGTATAAATTATGTGGATGTTAAGTTCTGATCTATGACTCTCTTAATGTAGCCATATGCCTCGTCATCTAATTAATGACGGGCATAAAAGGATTAATGAGATTCCCACTGTCCCTATCTACTATCTAGTGAAACCACAATCAATTGTAGGATAGATGTTTAGAATATTGAAACCATTAACACTCTCAAATAAAGTGCAGTAAGTATAGACCGTGATAGTATAAATTATGTGAATGTTAAGTTCTGAATAGTGTTTTAAGTTGTTTTATTATGAACTTTGAGATGCTAATGTACAGTTCTTTTTAGGATGCTAGAAAGTTCAGTTTGACTTATGAAGCTTCCATGACACGATTGTTCAGAGAAGGAAGAACAGAGACTGTCCGACCAGTTTCCATTGAATCTTGTACTTGGGTGAAGGCAATGGAAGATCCACTGTGTTCAGTGAGTATAAAAATGTAATGAAAGTGTTAATAATTGAAGTAAAATCTTGAATTTTATCACAGTAGTTGTAATGTATTAGTTTACTTTTTTGGGTAAATGCTGCCATACAAAATACATTCATTAAATTAAACATGTTGTTTATGTTCATACAATTAAGCACAACTAATCTAAAATTAAAACATTTACATCATCCACCTGCATTACTTTTAAATTGTGAATGCTTGTACTTTTATTATTGCATTTATTGAGTAACTTTGTATCACCTGCTATATATTAAACTATTGTCTTACTATATGCCATATTTTATGTTTATATTTTGTTATGATTTCTGTGAAATCTTTCTGAAAAGCTAACTTTTAGGTGTATAATCTTAGCAACATAAAACATTAATATTTCATTACATTTTGTTAAAGCTCATCATTGAACCTACATTTTATACAGCAGCATTTTAGTTTATGAATTTAAGTAACAAGTAGAAAATATAAAAAAATATTTCCTTTAATATTTTATTAGACTGAAGAGAAACGATCGCTACTGCGAAGAGCATGTGCTCAACATCAGACGGCATACCAAGATTCCATGTGTGGAAAAGGGATAGATCGTCACCTCTTTTGTCTGTATGTTGTCTCCAAGTACTTAGAAGTAGATTCTCCATTTTTGAGGGAAGTTCTTAGTGAGCCATGGAAGCTTTCCACAAGCCAGGTATGAATGTTTCTCGAGGATTCTCTGTTCGTCAAACTTTTCAATGTTAACAATTCTGCAAGATAATATATCTTATGTGAACTTTTTATAAGCTTCCATTAATTATTCTCTAGAATCATATTTTAGGTGTTTTTTCTAGAATTTTCTACAACAAGAAAATGGACCATTTGTTTGGATATTATGTCAGTCAAACCACTCACAAGGCAGGTAAGAGATGTTGTGTGGAATTATGTTCCAGCTGCTCTTTTCACTAGCTGGGAAAGAGGTATGCTGTAGAATCATGTCATTGTCAAGTTTTTCAGGATCTGGTTATGAGGTGTTCTTTAAGATCACATCCCAGTCACTCTTTTTACAAGCTGGGTATGAGGTGTTCTGTAGGATCGTGTCATAATCAAAGTTTTCACAATGTGGGAATGAGATATTTTGTAGGATTGTGTCTCAGACATGTTTTTCTTGGGCTGGGTATTGAGCTGCATATCCAATACCTTTGCCCTTGGTCTGTGAGTACAGAGAGTAAAAACCCAGATCCTTTTGTAATGCCTTTGAAGTAGGTTTTGTTGTAGTGCAGGTAGTGCTTAAAATTTTCTCATTTTTTTTAGAGGGGGAGAATTAACTTACAGGACCTTCTGGTGCAAAATTTTCCTATTTCACAACTATCTATAAAAGTCTGCAAGAGATGGATTTTAATGTTTGGAAGGAAGAGAGGATATCTGTAGTGTTGAATGATAATGATAAAGAAAGGGAATGTGTGTGATTCTAGCATGAAAAAAAATGAATTCTCTGTGACTGGCTAGCTGAGATAGTGAAGAAAGCTAAACAATTTATCACTTAGTAACCTAAGAACACAGCAGTTCATTGAAGCTGAAATAGGAACTTACCAGGGCTGTAAGCAAAATAATTCACATGGATTTTGGTCTTCAAAAGAACGATGTTCACAAGCTTTTTTTAACATTAGTTAAACAGTGAGTAAATGTGAGTAATGGAAGAACATCATTACATTGGACTATATATATGTCTACTTTAGTAGTTGCAACAATGTCTGGGCAACTTATCATCATCTTTCTAGTGGTACAACATTTAAAGAAATGATGCATAGCATATTATTAAAGTTTACCAAGGCTGTAGGCTATTTACAAAAAGAACGAGGTGAACTCTGCATAATTACACTATGAAGAAATACCATTATTATAACAAGATATGGCTCTATCACAATAAAGAATCTAGCTACACGTCAAAGTTTAACATATCAATTTTTCCACCAGGTGTAATTACAAATGGCATTAAATAGCTTAGTTTATTTTGACTTATATTTCCAAGTTTCCTTTGTAAGCTACATAAAAATTATTTAGCATCAAATGCATTAAAATATATATTGCACAAGTTAAACTAAAAACATTCTTCAGACATTTTTAACTGGAACTAATCTAACTGACAATTGTGATCTCAGTTTCAGAACAAATTTATGTGGACTTGCTTTACATGTATTTAAAAGTGTACTATAATTGCAGTTATTCTATCATAACTTAGAAATGGATTATTAAAAATACTTTGACACTTTAGTTTAAAGAGGTCTAAATGGCATCAGGAGAACTATTTCAGATATGAATTTTTTAGAATGGTAATTATGTGTAGACATATTCTAATCATTTAATAATGACAAATAATATTTTATAATAGATGTAAAATAGTGAGTCTTTTTACCCTTGTCTTCAGACACCACATGGACAAACAAACCTCTTGGACCTAAAGAAATACCCAGACCATATCTCTGCTGGTGGTGGGTTTGGACCAGTAAGTTTTTACTGAAGTATTACATTACACAGAATTAACTGTTAAAGAGAAACAAGTTTTTGAGTGATATTCAATAACTTGTTTCTCTTTAATAGTTAATTTCACATTATAAGTTTAATTAGATGGTTTTGTTCCATTCTTATTGTTACAATATTGCTACAGAACTTGTAAACTCACTGTATATAGTTTTAATATTAACTGGTGAGTTATTTTGTATCTTTGTTTAAAGATTTGTAAAGCTTATTTATGAGCATAATTTCCTGTTCTTTGGTGCTTTCAACTATAGAGCATTTATACATTTAATGAAAATAATGTATTTTTGAAGTGTGTTCATATTGTTATTAAACAGTACTAAAATTTGGGAAAGAAGATAAAACAGTTTGCTTCATAAAACTATAAGGAGATACTGCTTGTTCACATGTAGGTAATAACAGCTGCTACAGAAATAATAATGATTATTTATGTTAACTTTTGCACAACAGAAAAAATGATAATACCTTACTTTGGCTAGGGTGTGATCCAAAATTTGAAGTTAAAAAAAAAGGTACTAAACATATAAAATAAGATGTCAAGTATACATTTCAAATATTTAGTTATCAAATATTAGACTACATAAACATTTTGTAAAGGTCTCCTTATTGTCATTTGTGCCAAGTGAATGCTAAAATAAACTCGGCTTATGAAGTAATAATATTCCTCTCTCGTGCTAGTTTTAGAGAAAATTAGCTTAAAGGCTAAGTAATGTATTACACAAACATAAACTAGTAATGAATGAGAGCAGTTAAATAGGATATCTTTAAGTTAGGATCCATTAATGTCAGACTAGTTCATGAGAGCTCTCATATGTTCAAGAAGATTCATCATGTGTAGGTATACTAGTGTTTTGTTTGAAGATAAAAATATCTTGAAAGTATTGGATATTTACAACCAGTCATAAACAAGCTTCTTTGTATTATAGTTCTTTCAGGATGCTAATCATGCATAAAACCATTTTGGTGGCTGTACTTGTCAGTGCTACGTATGTCATTTATTTTCAAAATCCTAAGTATATTGACTCAAAGACATAAACTGTCCATCATCCATGAATTTACAAAGTTTTCAGTAGAGTGGCCACACAAACACCCAACTAGCAAGTCTAATACTACTATGCACTTATTAATGGCATCTAAGATGTTAATGACTGATTTATGTGGAGGAATTCCTATATATATATTTTTTTTTACAGGTATAATATAAAGTGCAATATTAATTCACAGATATATATGGGTCACGATGGGTCACATGTCAAAGGCCATGTCATTGTGTTTGTTGACTTGCATTCAAAATTTTACTATTTTATGAATCTATGTCAACAAGTTTGGTATCAAATTGTAGATTATAATTTAAATTTTAGTATCATACATTAGTTAATTTCTTAATTTAAAAGTAAATATTAAAACACAACTAAACATAGATTTTTCTGTGTGTCACATGGTATGTTGAATGCAGCACTGGTTCAAATTAGATGTTTATGATGTCAAAATACAAAATCTACAGTTTTATATGAATTAGGAACTCAAACTACCAATATTGACAAGCTAGAATATAAAATTAGAACCTCTTATCTTTTCAGTTTGCTAAGATATTGCTCCTATAGTGATTCAAACACAGTGGCCCCCCACCCACCTCTTTCTATTTTTGGAAATGGTCCCTTATGTGCACTTACTTCTATATATGACATGAATAACCAATCAAAAGCTCAGACTATCCCCCCTAGTGGTTTTCTCAACCATGACATGTTATTATGCTAATTTCTTTCTTTTTACACAAGATTTCAAGAGATGAGGTAAATCTTTAATGAGTTCGAAATTTCCTACTTTTTAGATGCAAAGACAGCTTAGTTACTATGCTTGATAAATTATAGTGGAATTCTATGCTGTCAATATAGTAATTTATGATTTTTGGTTATTTAAAATGTATATAACTAAAACCTAAAAAAAAAACGAGTACAAAGGTAGTAACTAGAAGAGATAACTGTTTGCTTTGCTTCTTTATTTACTGTTCTGTGTTTAAAAGAAAAGGTTTAAGAACTTATTTGTAAATAGTAATAATGTATAGTAATGGAAATGTGACTGTATTTTACAAAATACTAGTCCACTAAAACACAGCTAAGACAGGTCACTTTGTAAAGACTAAAGGTCAGTTATATATCTTTACAAACTTTTGCAGGTTATTGGTAAACATTACAGGGTTTTCTTACACAAAATATCAGGTTTTAAATTAACTATTAAGATTTTTTTAATTAAAGATTTTCTTGTAAACCATTTTCTTTCAGAATGTTGACTATCCAACATGCAAAGCAATTTTCATTTTAAGATTAAAAATACTTTAATGCATTATAACATTTTCAAATTTCACATGCAAAATCTTTATAATCTTCAGATAATTATATTTATATTTTATTTGTTATTTTCATTACTATATTTCTGTACGGGTTGGTTCGATTTGACCTCAATAATAAAATTAGAAAAAATATAAATTATGCTTTTCTTGTTCTAGAATGACTACAAATTATAACACAAAAACACAAATTTTTAGTCTAAATAGCTTAAATCTCATAACATTCTACATTTATCTATGCTTATTAATTTTATTATTTTGACTTTCCAGCTGTGCCTGGCTAACAATACAGAAGTTACAATGATGCAGCATACATGCATTCATGTTACCATATCCAATAATATGGATACTTTTGTGATTACGAGCTGGGTGGAATTCACCCAGTCCCTAATGGAAGGGTTAATTAGTTGCTTATACATCATCAAACATAGATGTTATGATTTAAGTACTCAGAGATGAAACTTAATTTTGAAGCAAGTTTGCAGCCAAATGTAGTTGATCATTACTGTGATGTCAGTTAGAGGTGTAGTTTTTGAGGAATTTTGAGCTTATTACATAGTACTTTTGAAGACCTTTAAACAAAAAAGCTATGTATAATGTTATTATAGGAAGTTAGTTTCAGGTTTATGTCCTTAACTTTCTCCACACGGGCTCGTTCAATTTGACCGACCACATGACCTCTTTGTACTCAATTTAACCCTTCCGACACGGGGTAGGTCAATTTGACCGTATCACGTGACCTTCTGTACTCTTTTAAATTTGACATAAATTCAATACTTATAACTCTCTATATA